CTTCGTTGAGCTCTGCATAGATGGGAATATCCCAAAACGCCTCACTCGTGGTGTTCTGGTAGACTGGTTTTGGCATCACCGGTGAGTACCATGGTGGAACCTCTTCTATTAACCCACGCTCTCGCAGGAGCTCAAAAAAAAAGAATCTTCAAAGCTGCATTATGCCTGTATAGGTACTTGGTTTGTGCCAGGGAGGAACATCCAGCCAATACATGTGCAACGATTTCAGCTACCTTTCCACATAACCTGCATAGGACTTCGCCGTCGGTGAAGGTTTGCGTCTTCTCCTTTGTGTAGAGCTTCGTAGGTAACAACTGCTCACACAATTCATACATGCCAGCGATGGTATATGTAGGGCATGAAGCCCAACCTTTTAACCATGCAAAACAGCTGGTTAAGTTTAGGCTCTCATCTTCCCATCTGGTACGGAATAACTTTCCTTGCCACTTTTTGTCTTTAGCGATCTCCAAGAACTGCTTCTCTTGAGATTGCTTCAACAGATTCCCAGCTCTTGCTGCAGTCACCACCTTTCCTTCTGTTGTAACACACACGGGATTTAGGGAGTCAAGCTGAAGTGTGATGTTGAGTTCTTGAGCGTACTTAACTGCTTCCTTTACAAGCGACTGGTGGCCTGTTGCCATGAAGTGTTCTCCAAATTCTCTAACTGCTTCCACGGTCTGGTCCGAATTCTGATACAATTTCAGTAGCGATTTGATTTTAGTGATCTTGTACTCGTGTTCTACTGATCGCAGGCCTCTACCCCCTTTCTCCCTCGGTAGATATAACAAAGAAGTTAGGCTAGCTGGGTGCTTGCCACCGTTCTCAACGATGATCTTCCGAGCTGCTCTGTCCACATCTCTCAACTCTAATAGAGGCCAATGCTGTGTCCACATTACGTTTTGCAGGATCGGGAGTGCATACTGATTAGTTGCCTGTACACGGTTACAATCAGACAGGGGGCTGGACCATATAACAGATATCCTGCGTAAATACTCTTTAGCACGCTAGGGCAAGCCGTTCATCCTGCCGAACGTTCTCTAGCAACCCCAGGAATTTGTAGTGTTTTCCTTCCCCAAGAGCCGAGATGGTAGTTGTCTCGTCCATCCTCATACCAGACTCGTCTAGCACTTGGGCTCCCCTCTTCGCGAGTACCACTGAACACTTTTTCCGATTCCAGTGGAGGCCGATGTCCTGCATCGCTCCTCTAGTCTCCTTCAGCACTCGGTTCAGCTGCTCTCGGAGGCAGCATCAACCTTCAGGTCGTCGATATAAAGGAGATCGGTGACTTTGACTCATAGGCTTGGGATAACCGGTATCCCTCTGTTGCCCGCAGTCGCCACGCTACTGGGTTCAGGCACAGTGTAAACAATCTAGGACACAAAGCGTCCCCCCTGGGGTAGTCCCTTCATGAACCTTATTTTTCTGGAAGTCTCTCGCCCTTGCCTTGTTGTAGCTACCACTCTAGTATTCCAGCTCGCACACAACTTGCGTATAACCTCACCCAGCCAGATGGGAAGCCTGTGTACGTCAGTCATTGCGCATAGCCAATCATGGTCGACGGAGTCGTAGGCTTTGCGCACGTCAATCCATGCCATGCTTAAATTCCGTTTGCATCTCTGGCAATCCAGCATTACTGCTCTATCGATTAGCAAGTTATCCATCGTACCGAAACACCCTGATTTCGCTCCTCTTTGCTGGCCTTCCATCAGACCATAATGATCAAGGTGTTGATCCATGGGTGCCAGGATGCAAGATGTAAACCACTTATACATGTTATTCAGACAAGAAATATTATTATTATTATTGTTGTTGTTATTATTATTATTATTATTATTATTATTATCATTATTATTATTATAAAGTAACGTTTTCAGTGCTATTAGATAGATAGTTTATTTGTAAAAAAAAAAGCTTGCAGCTACTAAGCTGAATTGTGTATTTACAATATAATATATAATATAGTATAACAGAATCTTACAATAGTGAGTATAGTAAAATGATAATGATAAAGTCCTAAATAGATAATAACATCCTATAAATATAAAAAAGCTTAAAACTGTTAAAATATATACAACGTCATCGATCTCATTTACAAAACTCACCGAGCACTAAAATTCGTTATCAATACATGATCTTACTAAAAAACTATTTATGAAACGCTCGGTCTTACATTTGGGAATCGCAAAACGCCTTTTGCACCGAAGATTATAACACGACGGCCCTGATGATTGAAGCATGTTATGTAAGCCATGGGCCGGGTCATTAGCAATCGAGAGGAAGGTATTTTTACATAAGCTAGTGATGTAGTCATTGATAGACATAATATTTGAAAGCTCTAAGGCATTTTTATAGGCCAGTCCCGGGCAAATGATTGATAGTGCCCGTTTCTCTACATTCTCTAGATCTTTCTTTAAATACAATGGCAGGGCGTAGAAAAACGCAGACGATGCGTAGGTCATGACTGACCTTATACAAGATGTATAAAAAAAGAATTAATTCATGCCTTGCGACATTGGCCCTTTCCAATTGTATTAGGAAATACATACGTTTAGAAGCTTTCTTTATGATTTGATCAATGTGCATATTCCATGTAAGGTTGTTGGAAATCGTAACACCTAGTAATTTGGCGATTTCAACACATTCTAGGTCTTGATTTTTTACTACCATAGGCGCGAGTTGTGGTTTGTTCTTTGCAAATGAAATCCTAAGCTCTTTACATTTTTCACTGTTTAGTTTTACTCTATTCTCAAAAGACCACTGCACGACAGTATCTGCAATCAATTGGGAATTGCTACTGGCGCCTTTCACAACGATCTCGTATGTAGTTGTATCATCAACATACTTCCAGATATTGCCTGCATTATTGATTTCTAGATCGTTGATGAGCACCAAAACAAACACGGACCTAGTTTCGTCCCCTGGGGTACCCCCGGATGGGACTGATCCCCACTCGGAGTAACATCCCTCTGAGAGTTTGATTCTCTGGGAACGATCACTTAGGAAATCTATGATCCAATTGATTATTTCAGTCGGCAGATCTAATTTGCATAACTTATTAACAAGAATCCTATGGTCTATGAGATCAAAAGCTTTCTTATAATCATAGAGTGTAACCCTAACCCTAATAACCTACACTCTCCTAAACCCTGGCCATTCCTTGGTCCTGAGGTACCAAAGGAGATTTTTATTTGGAGGACAGAAACCTTCCCAGCATGTGCGCCGTTCCTAGCACGATGATCTTTTGCAGCTCACTGATGTTACTGGCTCCAGGGATATTTCCTGAATTCTGGTCCATTCCCTCTTTAATAAGTCCCAGCGCACCAACAATAATCGGCACAGACTCTGTCCTCAATCCCCACATTCGCGCGGTTTCAATCTTAAGATCTTTGTATTTTGAGAGCTTTTCAATGACTTTCGTTGAGGTGTTTCGGTCGGATGGAACCGATACATCGATAAGTTTGCAACACCGGTTGGCTTGGTCCTTGACCACTATATCAGTCTTGTTCGCTGACAGTTCCCTGTCCGTATGTATCCGCATATCCCAGAGAATTGTGACTTCTTCACTTTCGGTAACCGTCTCGGTCTTGTGTTCATACCACGCACTTCTCTGGGACTTCAATACAGTAATGCTGACACGCCTTCCAATGGATATATGCAGCTGCCTTATTGTGCCTCTCTCGATAGTTCGGGACAGCCAGATATGATGTGATCTACTGTTTCTTCGTGCTTGTAGCATATCCTGCACAGTGGACTGGTGCCGTCCTTCGCAATCCTTGCAAAATAAGACTTGGTAGGGAGGCTATGGTCCTGGGCTGTAATTATCAGTCCCTGTGTCTCAGCTTTCAGTCCCGTACTTCTGAGCAACTGGTTGGTTTTATAATCGTCAACATCTGCTTCCCTTATTCTTTTGGGGTATCTTCCGTGTAGTTCCTTTTCTTCCCACCGCTTCACTTCTATATCTTGGGCCTGTTGCTTTACCTTCTGTTTTACTCTCCCAGCAAAATTAGTAACCCGTTCATTTGCTGCCCCATCGAGGTTTGGGACCTCAAATTCTCTTCTGAATTTCTCTGCCTCTTTTTGATGGAGTAAAGCTTCTTTTTGATCCCATATTGAAGTACTAATTGGAACAGAGCATCATCAATGTTTCTCAGATATGTTTTCAACCCTACCATAGTTGATTCGTACGCAGTTTCTAACTTGGTCAGGCCTATTCCTTCAATTCTCCTGGGGAGGTACAGTCTGTCCACGTCTGCCTTCGGGAGTTGCCTTATGTGCATGGTAAGTAGCTTCCGTGTTTTTGTGTCCAGCCTCTTAATCTCACTCATTTTCCAGTTCATAATATTGAAACTGTAGGTGACGACGGCCACAGCTAGTGTATTGATGGCTTCGAACCTGTTGGCAGCGTTCAGTTCACTTTTCAGTACCTAGTATTACTCTGCGGTAGTATCCTTCTCTCCTTCATAGCGGCATGCTGTTTTCCGTCGCCTTCATTTATCCCCAAGGTTCTTGTAGACCCCCTCCTAATCTAGTTCTCTGATGCATGTGTCAGTGTCAAACTGTAGGTCTGATGTTTCCGTAAGATTCCCTCTTTTAAAAGTTGCTTTTGCACACTTTTCCAATCCAAATTTCTTAACAACAGTAAGCAAGCCAGCCTGTTGGTTGTCATTTTCGTGTAGGTTTTCAAATTATCCATGAAGAAAAGGTGGATGATTTTTTGACCCTGGTTTCATATCCACAACCACTTTCTTGCAGAACTGGGCTCAAAAGTGCAAGAGCAATGCAAAATAGGAGTGGTGACAAGGACTCTCCTTGAATATGCCACTTTTAATATTAATAGGTCCTGATGTCAGCGATCCTCCTGAGTGATTGAGGACCAACGTGGACTTCCAAGTTTTCATGGCTGCGGTGATGAACTGTGTGACTACAGGGCAGATCTTTTAAATTCTCATGCACTTCGTGATCCAGGAATGTGGTACACTGTCAAAAGCCTTCTTGTAGTCAGTCCAGTCTGTAGACAGGTTTTTTTCTGGTCCTACAGTCTTCAAGTATCATTTTGTTCGCCAGGAGTTGGTCTTTGCAGCCATAGCTTTCTCTCTTACATCCCTTCTGTTCAGATGGAAGGAGCTGATGCGCGCTTAAAAATGTGTATGTTCTGTCTGCTAGGATGGATGTGAGTACCTTGTACATGGTTGGGAGGCATGTGATAGGTCTGTAGTTTTCTCTGTTTTTTTGTTTCTTCTGTTTTCAGTAGAAGCATTGTGAGACAATCGGTTAGCCATTCCGGCATTTCTGCTGGGTTCTTAATGATGTTCGTATATGCTTTTGCCATATCCTCATGGAGGTTTTCGAGGTATTTTAGTCAAGTTGGGGACTTTGTCTTTACCCGGCGATTTCAAGTTTTTTGTTTTGTTTATGGCACTTGTGACCTCTTGGGCATGTATTGCAACCAAGGGCTGGCTCTCTAAATTCTTTAATTTGAATATCCTCCAGCCTTTTTATTCATTTTCATTATGAATATTGTAGTTTTCCCATGATGTTAGCCCAGAACTCTTCAACCTCGTCGAGAGTAGGTGGCTCGGTCACATCCACATCAATCCTTTTCACGGTAAAATTTTTGGCAAGCTTAAAGGTTTTATTCTGCAGAAAGAATTTAGCTCTTTTCTCAAATCTTCTGATTCTTTGCGCCTTAGCTTGGATTTGCTGTTTAAATACTTCCTTTTCGGTTGCCAAGTCTGCCGGGTTCTTTATGTTATAACGTTTCAGCATTTGCTTTTGTTTTCTTTCCTTGATCCTGCTGCCCTTTTTCATCTCCACCAGGATAGATAAATCACTCGTATTTTTCTGTTGTTCTCCGTTCATGCTTTCCATAAGGGCGCTTTCTTTTATCTGGTTCTTCCCCTCACTGGCCTCAGACCAATTTGCCGCTCTGTGATGATCTAAGCAGTCACATAGGTAATCTGGTTGATTTCAGTTAGTGTAAGTGGCTTGTTATCTTTTTCTTTGATTTCCTTAATTTTAAGCATCGTTTGCAGTGTTGATTGCTTCACGTACATGGAGATCTGTTCTTACCTCTTAGTGGGAGGCCAAGCCTTTAGACAATAGGTTGGTTTTTCACAGTGTCCCATTTTGTCAGTTTTTTCATCTGCTGCACTTTCTCGTCTACGCTTATGTTGTTTGTATTTTGCTGGCTAGCTGTAGGTTCACCTTCTTCCATGATGGTAGTGACGTTTTGGGCTTGTTCTTTATGTGCCTCTGGTAGTTCTTCACTAGAGCCCATTGCGTCCGGCTTGCGTGACCCTTGCCTTGATATCATCCAGCTCGACATCAGTAAGCCTTGTTCTTGATAATTTGATAATGTCTCTTCTTACATTAGTAAGCTTGTTTGCATCAAGGTATGTCCGTTTAGTGGGGTTTTGTCTTCTTCAGAAGTTATTGGTCTCAACGGTTGTGTTTGTTTCTGATGGACTGATAATGGAGGTATAGAATGCCTCCACAATTTCTTTATACTCATCCTGGGTCCACTTTTTTCGCGTTGGCTTGGGGGGTTTCCGCGGTGTTGGGAGTTATTATTATTATTATTATTATTATTATCTCTTTTATAAGAGTCTTTGCTGGTGTTCTTTTTGTGCATCAGCCGGCCGCAAACCATGCACCTAGAGCGTCAGTCACTCAAGTCAATCATTCTGTTCATACACTGATCACCTTTCTGTGGATTCGGGCAGATCCCAGCATGCATATCGTTTGAATCTCTGTCATAGTAGCTCTCTCTGATACTTTCTTGATGTTTTCTACCGCACCCTTTTTCACTGTACCAAGCGCACCAAAAACCACAGGGATGACTACGGTTTTCATATGCCACATTCTCTGTATTATTATTATTATTATTATTATTATTATTATTATCATTATTGTTATTATTATTATTATTATTATTATTATTGTTATTAATATTATTGGGACTCGGATTTAGATATTGAAAAACAGTCTGGGCCACAACCAGAACTGGATATATGATTTCCTGTCATCTGATTGGCTTACGCAAAACCAAAACATTACTTAAACCACAAAAAGGACTTAGGCATGGGTCGCACTTAGGAAAAGTTTTCATCTTTGCCGGCTAAAAACCACAAAAATTCGAAACCGCAACCGGAAAAGAAAAAACTTTTAGTCCAACCGAGGAGGGTCGCATTAGTGGGAGTTAATAGTAGTTTTGCTTTGACACATTGAGAACTTAAGAACGCCAGATACCAAAAACATTTTCTCTTCTTCGTCCGAATCTTTGTCGAAGGATCTTTTCCTCCATTCCCAGTTTCAGGAGGAGGGACAGATAAAGAAGAGCAGAAAGTGCTTGGATGCGAATAGTGCATTTGGCTTGAGAGAATAACAAACCTGAGAAGTGTTTGCTTGTGTAGACAGGAACTCAACTGGTTCGCCTTCAATAGAGCTAGTTCCCGTAAAAACCTTAAAATAGCGAAGGTTTATAAGCAGTGAAGTCCTTGC